ATATCTATAGTATAATGGGCCCCAAACCCCTATTTCAATCATTGAGGCTCCCATGTTATATCCTTATAACAACCGGTATCATTACCCTTATAGCAACCCTTTAACGGAACCCTATTTCTAGTCATTCAGGCCCTGATGTTATTAGAAGTGATACTAAACCCTAAACCCAAAAAAAACCCTAAACCCTAGGGTTTGTCCGCTGCAGGTGTATGCCGGCTACCTCGAGCATACGGATACGCAGGATGGCAAGGTCATCGAGGACTGCTTATGCAGTTTTGGTAGGGTTTAGGGTTTAGTTAGGGTTTAGGGGTTTAGGGTTCACGGGTTTAGGGTTTAGGGTCTAGGGTTCAGGGTTTCGGGGCTTAGGGTCTAGTGTCTAGGATTTAGGGTTTAGGGTTTAAGGTTTAGCGATTTAGGGTCTAGGGTTTAGGGTTTAGGGGTTTAGTATAGGGTTTAGGGTATAAGGTTTAGGGTTTAGGGTTTAGCGTTTGGGAGTTTAGGGGGTTTAGGGCTCATGCAGTCTTGGGGCTTTCGGGTTGATGGTTCATGGCTTAGTAGGTCTCGTAAGAGTTTAGGGTTTAGGGTTTAGGGTTTAGGGTTTAGGGTTTAGGGTTTAGGGCTTAGGGTTTAGCGTTTAGGGTTTAGGGTTTAGGGTTTGCTTAGCGTTTAGGGCTTAGGGTAACTGGTTTATTCTTGAAGAGGCCAGGCATTCCAAGTAAGCCCGTAGTATGGCTGCGAGCCGTTTAAGGGTGTGGATGACTTCCCGGTGTGCGAAACCGCTTGGTGTCTTTCAGCTGGTGCTATCTGCTTACACCGATACCGTCGGCAATGCCACTGTGGACTTTCGTCAGCAATTGCCGGCAAGACTTGGAAAAGATTCGACGGGTGTTACTCGTTCGTCTCGTATCGTAAGGCAGTGAGGTCTGGAGCCGTGCTTAGAAACCAAGATGGGAGGCATGACAACATGAAACTTTTCCAGTGTACGGTGTGGTTTAGGGTTTAAAGGGTTTAGGGGACGAACGTGTACTTGACTCCTTCAGGGTAACATTCAAGCCTAATTTCCTAAACCTTACACCCAATCTAAAAGTAGCCAAGCGTTTAGGCTTCCGGGTTCAAGGTTTCGGCCCCAGGATTTAAGGTTTGGGGTTCAGGGTCTTAGGGTTTAGAGTTTAGGATTTTGGGGCTTTTCTATATAAATATAGTATCATGGACCCACAAACCCTATTGAAATTATTCAGGTCCCTACGTTAGGGCCTTTTTGCTGTCCAACCCATCAACCCTAGACCCCCTGCTCCCCGAGACCTTCATTCCTGAAAGACTACGGGGTATAGACCCTGCATTGAGACTATCATAAACGGCGAACCCTACTTACTATACACCCGTGGTAGTACAATTGAAGGATTCTTGGGGGAGCTCCAAATGAAGGAACATGCGATCGTGGTTTTGGGAACGGATATCTATCAGGGCCTTGTTGTTAGGATCCCGCAAAGGCTGCGAGATCAAGACAGCGGTTTCACACTGACTCCGTGGTCTACAGGGCTGTGGTCCCGGAGGGAAAGGCGCTCGCGGCGAATGTCGCTCAGGCTTCAGATCTTATGTACAAAGCGAAAACGCCCAAGTCCGGTGATCTTGTGAAGGTGTCCATGGCTTCTTTGACTGGAGTCTCGTCTCAAGGCAACCTTACCGGAGTTGCCGAGCAAGGCCCGGAGGGAAGGTTTGGGCATCACGAGCAGCCATCAAGATGCTTCAATGGCAACTCCGGCTCCAAGGTCGTGCTCGGAACTCCGGATGGCCAAGCTGCTAAAGCCCTTGGAATCCACGTCGGAGTGGGTACAAATTCTGGGGGCAAGCAAGACCATCACCACCATCTTAGACGGTCTCACACAGCAGTGTACCACCGGGCTGCAGTCGATCATTGAAGGCGAGCCTTGCAAGAAAATCAAAGCTCTGATTTGAAAGACCAAGTGACTTCGCTCAGGGTCCAAGCGGAGGTATGTCCAGACCCTTTGCTTTTGCCTCGGGTTTGCCTATGCACTGCTTTATCTGTAAAGCTTCTCGCAGCTTTTGTGCAGCTTCAGCCGGGTTGTTGGGGCTCAGTCTATAACCTGGGTTCTGGAGTACCATACTTGAATACTTTTTTTGGGGACCTGTTCCTTAAGGGAACCATGATAAAATAAAAGTCTATACTTTTTTCTCTCTGGTTACTTCAAAGTCTAGTAACTGTATAGATTTCTGCTAGAGCTGACACCCTTCAACCCTACCAGGGTTGGTAACCGCAGACGACATAAACCCTGAATAAGCCCTCAAACCTTTAGACCCTAAACCCTAAACCCTAAACCCTAAACCCTAAACCCTAAACCCTAAACCCTAAACCCCAAAGCCTTTAAAGCCTCTAAATCCCTCAAAGCTGATACCAGCCTGGGTTCTTGTTAAGGGATTTAATTTAAGTTACCATAATAAGGAAACCATATTATTTACTATAGACCCCTATTATGGTAACTTAAATTAAATCCGGATCTATAGTAAATAATATGGTTTCCTTATTATGGTAACTTAAATTTAATCCCTTAACAAGAACCCAGCAGCTGAAACCCTTAGGCCCTTACGCCCGTAGGTCCTTAAAGCCCTTGAAGCCTCACTCACTCCCTAATCCCGAAAAAAGCCCCAAGGAGTCCAGGACATTTTCGTTTAGGGTTTAGGGTTTAGGGTTTAGGGTTTAGGGTTTAGGGTTTAGGGTTGACATTTTCAGGTGGCTAGTTACCGTTATAGGAGGCTTAGCCCTATATACCTCATAGAAGCCTCATAGGAGCCCTATATACCCCAAACTCCCTGTAGTTTCCTTTAAAGGAGCTGGAGCGCCAAGGGCTTTTCAATAACACTTTGGCGGCCGGGCTGCAGGATATTCTTCGGGTTCAGGGTTGTCTTTAGGGTTTAGGGTTCAGGGTGTTCTTTGGGGTTTAGGGTTCAGGGTGTTCTTAGGGTTTAGGGTTTAGGGTTCAGGGTTTTCTTTAGGGTTTAGGGTTCAGGATTCAGGAATTTGGGTTCTGGGGTGTAGGGTTTAGGTTTTTTTTCTGAACTCACAGAGGGGTCTGAAAGCTCTCCGTAGAAGGTTCCATCAGGGCCCCTGTAATTTAAGGTTCTAGAATGAGTGGAAGGGAACTAACGCAGGGGCCTGAAAAACGCGCCATGGTGTTGCAATGGGCTTCTTACGACTAGAAGATTTTCGGGTTCAGGGTTTGGTGGTTAGTTTCGGTCTTTAGAATAAGTATAGGGAGCGGTTTCCTAAGGCACATCGAGCATAAATAAGGACTAGCCCCCTACGCCCTAAACCCTAAACCATAAACCCTTAAACCCTGAACCCTAAACCCTAAACCCTTAGACCCTAAACCCTAAACCCTAAACCCTAAACCCCTAACCCCTAAACCCTAAACAGTAAAACCTCTAAACCCTAAACTCTAAGCCTTAAGCCCTAAACCCTAAAACCCTAAACTCGTAAACCCGAAACCCTACACCCAAGGAGCTTGACATCCGCCCGACCTTCCTCGGGCCTTGCGCGGCCTGCCTCTTCCTCATGTG